GTGCACCCTGGGGCGTGTCCGCCTCCCAGTGCTCGCAGCCGGGGCGCCCTGGACCCCGAGGCCTCCACTAAATTTCATCTCCCGGCCCGGGGACTGCCAGCCCAAGACCAGCGAGCCTGGTGCGGCTCTCCACAGGGGGATTGGAACAGTGCCTTCCTTCTGGTTCTCATAAGTGCCTCGTCGTCTCCGTGTGCCAGTCACCAGCTTTAGCAGTCTTGTAATTTTAACCTCATACCGCCTCCTGCGTTTTCATCAGTAAAAATGGGACACACTGTCTGCTTTGCAGGAAACAAATGAGAAAATGAATGCGCAAGTAATAAAGCATGTATTATATCTATGTACATTTCTTCGGGGTAAAAATCTAGCACATGCATACATTTTTGAGTGTGGTATATTTAATTTGTAGCACAGCATGTAACATGTTAAACGCTTATAATGGGACAGGCTGAAGCCGAGCAGCTCAGGGGCATTATGCCGTCCTCCTGCACCTGGGTCACTCCAGCATCTCCAGACAGCTGAGGGAGCAGCCCTCAGCGAAGGCTTTTGTTGCTGCTGTTGCCTGTTCACTCCATGAGAGGGTGCTGGTTATCCCCAAATTGCATAGCAGAGCTTGCGGTGCAGAGGGAAAGCCCCTTTCCCAAGGCAGGACCCCTGGTGGCAGACCCTGGCCTTTCAACCCTAACCACCTTACCATGTGTATCTTCAGCGTTTCTTTAGCACCGCTGGGAAGGGGCGCTTGGTGAGAAGTGGGTTCACAAAGAAAGAGTGCTGACCGGAGTGGATGGTGCTTGTGGGGGACCCCAGGCAGGTGGAGGAGTTTGCTAGGTGTTTCCGTGAACCATACCAGTTAACCTTTCCCAAGATGCGCTGTTTTCAGCCCTTTACAGAAAGCCATTCTTTCCATTTTCTGATAATCATGAGGTACCAACCCATTCTCGATGAGAACAGAGGCATAAAGAGGTAAAAAATAACTTGCCGAGGCAGTACACAGCTTACAGATGCTGGGATTCGAACCAGGGTACCTCGGCCTGAAGTTTCCTTCTGGCCACTGCAGGAAGTCGCCCCCTAATGCCAGATTTAGGGGCAGGGCCATAAACTCCTTAGGGTCGGTTTGGTACCTTAATCTCTTAGGACTTGAAAATGTCTGAGCATCCAAGCACTTTTCCCTGAGGGCAAAGTTTCTTTCACTCAGGGACACTAGCCCGTACCTCTGGTATTATCAAATGGGCAGGACCATAGGTGCTTAAATAATGCT